AAAAAAAAGGAATGCTTCATCACTATTGAATGATTGAATGATTGGCCCAGCATGCTCTCAGAGGTAGAATACGAAACTCAAGTTTCATCTTGTTCATTATCTTTTCTCTCTATGTGTTTTTAATTAGTTTTAAAAAGTAGATGTTAAATAAACAAGGTAAATTAACATGGCAAACAATTTAAAAAGCATAAAAGAGTAAACCGAAAAGTAAGTCTCCTTTCCATTCCTGTTCTCTAGTCCCTCAGAGGTAGTCACCTGTTAAGTATTACTTGTTTATTTTCCAAACATATTCTGTGTATTATGCATATACCATCATATGTGTATATGTTAATGTATGTGTGTATGCAAATACATGTTAATACACACATATATTAACATATACACGTATAATGGTAAAATTAATGCTAATTTTTATCTAAATGATAACATGCAGCATGCCCTCTTTCATTTTGCTTTTCTTCACTGCTAGTGTGCTTTGGCCAGGTGCAGTGGCTCACGCCTGTAATCCTAGCACTTTAGGAGGCCCAGGCAGGCAGAACACTTGAGGTCAAGAGTTCAAGACCAGCCTGGCCAACATTGAGAAACCCCATCTCTACTAAAAATACAAAAATTGGCTAGGCATAGTAGCATGTGCCTGTAGTCCTAGCTACCTGGGAAGCTGAGAGAGAAGAATTGCTTGAACCTGGGAGGCAGAGGTTGCAGTAAGCTGAGATCACACCAGTGCACTCCAGCCTAGGTGAAGGAGCGAGACTCCATCTGAAAAAAAAAAAAAAAAATAGTGTACCTTGGAGATTATTTCATTCATTTTCATGGCTACATGGTATTTCATCATATTAATGTACTATAATTTTTTTAACCAGCCTCTGTTAATGGACATTTGGGTTGCTTCCATTCTTTTTCTGTTACAAATTACACTACAGTTAATATCCATGTCTTTGTACATACCTACCAGTATTACCATAGGAAAAATTCCTAGAATTTAAATTATTGATTCAAAGGTTATATGCGTTTAAATTTTTGATTGATATGCTTTATGTACCTCTTTTCACACATTTTTACCCACATAATGTGTTACAAAGCTTTTTGATCTTTGCTAATCTGATAGATGAAAAATGCAGGCCGGGTGCGGTGGCTCACACCTATAATCCCAGCACTTTGGGAGGCCGAGGCAGGTGGATCACGAGGTCAAGAGATCGAGACCATCCTGGTCAACAAGGTGAAACCTCGTCTCTACTAAAAATACAAAAATTAGCTGGGCATGGTGGCGCGTG